TGCCATTAGCTGAAGTTTCCAGCTTGTCAGGAGAATCTTTTGATTATAGCAATCCCACAGTCATTTGAAGCAGATTTAGCAGCTCTAAGGTCATTGTAGAGGCTTAAAGCTAAGTATGAAAGCGAATCCAACTCTGAGTTGAAGTCCAACTGGTTTACTGCTGCTGTCAGTCCAGCATGTGAGAGTTTATCTCAGTTCAGATGTTAAGGATAAACTGGGTGAACTGAGTCTGAGCCAGTGCTGAGCTGGGGATTGACTTTGATTGGGTATCAAAGCAATAGACCTATATGAAAAGCTCATTTTTTCTGCAGCTTGCTTAAATGTGTCCAAGCTTATCTTATGTGCACATAGTGTATAAACGCCGATCAGATTCTGCAAATGCATAAAGATTCTGCCAACTCCAAAGTTTAAAATGTCAGCTTGTAATTGCTTGGTTAAGTAGAGGATCAAATCGAGTGAAAAAAAGTGGCAACTTTGCAAATTTATTTCATGGATCATTGATGAATGCATATTGAGCTTTTGTGTGTGTATAATTTGTGCATTTACAAGCTGCAGATTATATTTGAGCCTATTTCTGCATCAAATCCTCCTGTTCCATCAAAGCGATTGAACCAATAGTTCTGGATTCTCAACGTGTTGCCAAGTCAGTGGCAACAGACGAGTAACAGAAAACCCTTGGCAGTGTAAACACACAGCTGCTATCCAAACTGCTGCTGCGTTTTGGCTGGAGAGGCCATTGACTGGTGTAATCTGCTGTGTGAATCTGCAGTTTGGCCCTGTCTGGTCGTTGTCTGGGTTCTGTGCACTCGGACAAAAGCGACTGACACCTTGCCCACTGACAAAGGGCCCGGCTCTAATTGGAGTGGACAAGGATTGCTGATGGAGCCTTTTTGAGCAATTGAACTTGGTGAATAAATCTTAGAGAAGCTAATAAAACATTGGGAACAGGGAGTTGGACTCCAACAACAGGAGCAGCTCCGATCTGTCCTACATGAGCCCATCAAGCATGCACTGAAGCTGTGCTGTGACCCATGGTGTCCATTTCCAACAGAACCAAACCTGTAAGGCCACTGAAGGTGCTGACACTGGGGTAGGAGTGTTATAATGGATCTTTAAATAAAATACCACTTCTTAAGGGAATGTATAACACCTGCCACCTTGCATGCTGGAGTTTTAGACTAAAATCATTTTATACTCAGAAATGATGGCATTAAAAACTATTTAAATCAAACTATGAAAATAATGGTATGTACATTTTTGTGGAGTCATCTTTAACTGGGTTGTCTCCAAACAATAACTAATTGTTGATGTACACCCAATGATTATTTCCTGGAAAAAGTAGTAAAATTCGTCAAGTAGTTCATGAGACAGGTTGCGCTGACTCCAAAAGTTTAAATAGCAAGTGCAAACATATTGAAGTCTGTTAGGGCTCAGAATACATGTTGGAGATTAAAGTGCCTATGACATCAAACTTTTATAATTCATATGAATATATTTTTGGAAAGATAACATCGATAACATATTGTAAAAAAGATTTCATGTCACCGTGATGAACAGTTGTTGAGATATTTGCGTGTTCAGTAACAGGAAGTGATGTCAAAGGGGAATGTGTGCATGTGAACAGAGCGTTGCTAAAATGGCTAACAACACAGAATGTTGAGAAAAATCTGATGTTTCTTTAGATTATTTTAATAACTATCATAGAGAGACGAGAAATAGTCATAGCTCAAATAATATTGTTTAAATAAACAACAAGCATTTTCTTTCTCAAAGAGTTCCCCTTTGATGTCACTTCCTGTTTCACTTTAGCTGAGCCAAGTTCAAAAGAAAATATGCCAATTATGTGACATAATGGGTAAAATCATGTGCATTATGTCAAGTTTCTCAAATATAAATATATTTTATTTGACTTTTTATATTTCATGAATATGTATGTCACTGGCACTTTAAATTCAGCTACGATCCCCAACACATTATTAGGTCTATGTTTGTAAAACTGATTAAGTTACACTAAGTTCTGTGTTTTTTTAAGGGTCATTTGGTCTGTGGCAGCCATCTTGAACTGTTGACTTCAAAAAGTAATGAGTTATAAATGCACATCCAATGATTCATTTATGCCAGTTTCATTCAATTTGATTGAAAGATTATTTTTGTTCCGCTCTCGGAGGAGTAAGACGCTTTTACCATCTCTCCTGTCCTCCCTTATCTTCCCTGCTTTGGTGCTTGGAGTCTTCTCTACGTTTTCATCCGAAACCAGAAATTATGGATATTTTTATTTTATGGATTTGGTTAGCTGGTCTCTTAATAAATTTTTGGAACAAAGTTTTTTTTCTTCCATGGGAGGACATGTCAAAGGTGGGACCTCTGTTCTGCTCTGTTCTGGATATATATTTGGATTCTGATCACTGGATTCTACAGATTGGCTTGGTGGTCTCCGGGTTTTTCTACAAAACAGCATCGGTGGCTGTTCATTTCCTGGCTGCCTGACCAATATGAAGGATTGCCGTTCTAGCAGCACTCAAACTTTTGCCTTGAGCGAGCTGGACTCGGTCTGTAAGTGGTTCTGCTGAGGGTCCCGGGCCAGCTGTAGTTCCTGGACTTTGCTGGCCAGATGGAATTGATCTTGGAGAAGCTGTGAGCTCGGCTCGGTGGAATTTATCCACAGTATTTCTCTGATTGGATTTGCCACCTTGAGTTGCACCAGCGGACATTAAAGCTGATAGAAAATTGTTATCGTCTGCCTGACCCAGAACATTCCCTTCTGTTCCCAAATAACTGACACTACTACTACTATCTTTGTCACAGCAGAATTTGGCTCTCTCCTACATGGCCTTGAGCTGTTGGACTAAAAATTTCCTGGATGTTTATGTTGACTGAGGGTCTGCCCCACACCTCCTCCCCCTCACACCCATCTGTGATCTGGTTCCTGGAGCAGGCTGAGGGCCGCACAGAATGAACAGTTAACATCAATATTTTAAACTATGGCTGTGCTGGTTCTGGGGCCTGGATTCTTTGGGCTCATTTTTCAGATTTTCACACAAGTGCATTCAACACTCATGGCTTCAGATACACGACCTCCTAAACTCGCTTTACTCCTCTGGCTAATAAATGTGCTCTTTTTTAAAATAAACACCATAGTGTGTCACATTGTTGATGTTATATGATGTTTTGTTTTTTTTTCCTCATCTTCCCTCGTGTGGTTTTTAGTTTTTTTCTTTTTGTTAAAAGCAGTGCAACCGTCTCTGTTTTTGTTGCTGCATGACCTGTACACCTGTTCCCCCATGTTTGTCTTGTGTGTCTTCTTGAATGGGTGTTCTTAACTGTTTGTACAGTACCTTGTGAATTTATTTCTGTGAAAAGTGCTGTACAAATAAAATTTAACTTGCTTACTTACTTACTTATTGTATTGGTTTATCAGATATTTTGCTAGCAGACACACAGACTTGGGCAAAAGTTTATATCCACCTTCGCCTTTCAGTGGCAGGCAATGAGGCAATAAAAATCTGTTTCGGCTTTAAAGGAAAACGAGTCTGACCTGGAGCTGTTGTATTGGAAACAAAACGCGGGCTTTGTGCTTCTCCAGACAAAAGCAGTTTGGTAAGAAGGACTCGCTGTTCGTCTTTGAAAACTGCACAGAAGGTGAGTGGGCTGTTCTTAGAAGGCCAGAAGGAATGTGTCCGGTGGAACCTGTGTGGGCCTCTGGACTCTGCTCAAACAGAGGCAGCAGAACAGCAGCACACAGGATCAGGTCTTTGTCACCAGAAAACAAAGTGGTTTGTTCACAGCCTCCCCAGGTCCTGTGATCCAGCTCTCAGGCTCTCTGACCTCTAGGCTCAAAATGCCCACACAAGTTGGTTACACCACATTTTATTCTCACTGTGCAAATTTTGATTGATTATTTTCTACGTCAAAACGTAGCTGAAAGTTATCGCAATTGCAATATCACCATTGCAAAAAGGCACACATGGGCGATAATAGTTTTTATTGTCTGCCTGCAAAATGTCATGAACCACTGAGTGGATAATAATGAAACATTTATAACATATTTATTGGATGTACATCTACAACTAAATAATGTTTGGAATTGGTCCAGTTCAAGATGGCAGAAAGCAAACAGCTTTTATGGAGCACAAACATGGATTTATTAGTCAGACTTACAGATGCTGAGATAAAATTTGGTGTGGTAGTAGTTGAGACTTTGCAAATCATACTCTGAGCATTCCACTTCGAGTAACATTTCTGCTCAAAACTTCGGTCTTAACTCTTGAAGTTGACCCTTTCTGTCCGTTAGCAAAATATCTCACGGACCATTGGGCGGATTTTAATGAAACCTTCAAAATGTAATCAATGGGTGTACACCCACAACTGAAAACCTTTGGAGATGGCCGCCACAGCTAACTGACAATAGAAAACACAAAAACAGCTATTGCTCCGTCAAATTTAAAGGTTTTGAACTCTTTCTTACAAGATTTGACCAAAATGGCTGTAAGCCATCATTTTTTTTTATCAAAAGCAGATTTTAGTTTAAAACACTGAATGACACCTAGTGATGTGCATTGTTTTAAAATATTGCAAGTCCATTACTTAATTCGTGTATTTTTTTTATTCATCCTGTCCAGTAAAACGATTAAAGGATGGTTATGCCATAGCCTTGATTTTATGCTCTTACGAGAGCCATTAAACAGGAAAAAAAAACACACACAAAAGGAAATGTTTTGTACATTATATCTTTAAATTTTAGAAATTCAACACATCAATAGACAATGCTGCAAAATATGCTACTGTTTATTTATTTATTTATTTACCAATAAAGATAAAATGTAAACTAATGGCACAAAGTAGCTAATCTAGAAAGACAAATACGTCGCAACGTTCTGCAAAGTAAATAAAATCTTAAACATGATTTCACTTCGCGCGCTGCACGGTGTGTCCCTCCTGATGTTCCGTAGCTGCAGCTGCGACGCTCTCTTCGTCGGTTCCATAGCAACAACAAACAGGCACGTTCTTCTCGGACTAATTTGCAGACTCTGACAATGTCACATATAATACATTTATAATGATTTATATAATTTATATGATTTATCTTTATAATGATAAACACTCGCTCATTAGTTTAGCTGCTGTAGAAAAAAACTGTGACTGACGTTCGACCCGATACATTTGAAAAATGTCGGATGAAAATAAAGTGGACAGATTTTCACATGACGACGAGGAGGTAGGTTTGGGTAAAACTCTGTAAATGTTACATTTAACCCGCATATTTATGGTTCATTTTTAGCAGCAGTAATACAGGCCTGTTTATATTCACTTTACTGTTACACATGTGTTGTGTTTCTGGCTGCAACGACTTGTTGGGAAGCAAGTGACCACATGTACCTGCAACTTCTTTAGAATATTATTTATAACATTGTGCTAAATTATTTGTTGCTCTTGCATACGAGATGTTTAAATAGGAACATTGTTTTAACATAATTTTATTATTAATTTTCATTATAAGGATCAGGTCAAATCACCAGTAAAAACCACTGTTTTCTCTACAGGTTTCAGAAGATATTCCACCATCTCTTCTCAGCTATTTTGATACGTCAAAAAGCAGAGCAGCAATCTGTGAGAAACTCATCCTGGAGGAGAATGACGGTACTATTAAACAATCAACATCATTATGTTTCAATTTCAATATGCAACAAATCTGTTTAAACCAGGGGTGGGCCATCATGGTCCTGGAGGGCCACAGTCCTGCATGTTTTACATGTTTCCTGCTCCAACACACCTGATTCAGTCACTGAATTACCTCTTCATGTTCTGCTGTATGGAGGACCGACACTGACATAATTAGAAATAAAAGCAGAAATAGATAAATAAACCTTTAAATAAACAAATACACTTAAAATGCACCAAACAAATTAAAAAGGAGAACTTAACCTCGAGTTTTATAATTTAATTGACATAATATTTATTTTTCCAGATTAGTTCCAATAAATTATATATTTTAACACATAATTTAAATTTTACTGTTTTTTTTTACATATGTATTAATTGTTTTTCTTTTACTTGTACATGCATTTGTGTGTCTTAAATGTTTATACTTAATTATGTTAACATTTTTTTTTCCAATAAGTCTACTTATTTCCTTGTGTTGCATGCTTGTGGTGCCTAAATTTATCTTAAAGTTTAAAGT